TTTTCTTTTGAAATTTTGCAGCCTATGAACCAAAGCTTATTTTATTTGTTAAATTAATAAATTACTTGATATTTAAGTAATTATTGGTATCTTCCATCACTGCATTGAAGAGTTTCTAAAGTTGCTGTGAAGGCTGCATCAAAATGGGAAAATTAAATGTGTAGACTCAGAGTAATGGTACTAACGTTAAACAATAAATCCCATTTGGTTTGAACTCATTATGAGTCATTCATTTTGTCTCTGAGTTCATGTGACCGGTTACAGTCAGCTGCCCTAAATCACCAGAGTTCATTGTTTGATTTCAAAAGATTAGACTCTTGCGTACAATATGCGCACACGAGCACGGCGTGCACCCACACTTTTACTCACACGCACACAAAGGCAAAACAAAGTAATTAGGTAGCCTACCGTGAGCAGCTTCCGCCTTTGTTGCGCTGGTAAACTAAGCAGTGGTAGCATGAAACTTAGCACTGTTTCCAAACCAAGTCTGTATACTTCCCAGTCAATATAACAAGTCCCGATCGAACAAATTAAACTGTTAACAATAAATATAATTTAACAAGCTGAAGTCGACCTTAACTAAAACCTGGTGAGTCGTTATGTGATGGAAATGTATCCTTGGAAACCGTACGTCTGAAAATCAGTCCTTCTGCTACTGAGACAGACAATGGTTCCGTGTCCTACCCACAGGCTCCTACCATATACAGTCTACGGTCGTACCGTAAAATATATTTTCTTTCATTCTACGACTTTCTAAGTGGTTAAATATTTTCATCGGCATTTGTTTGTTTGTTTATTTGTCTGTGAGTTGCTAGCATTACACAAAAACTGCGCATGTATAATTCATGACTCTGGATGACAAGAATCATTTATATTTCGGGGACTAATACATTCATGTAAACAATTAGGTGCGGCTTGAATAAATTAAAGGGAACTGTTGGGTATCAGTGGAGGTGAACGCTTTTCTGAGTGCTATTCTAGACGCATTTAAAATGACGACTGCGAGATGTGGGTGTGAGCGTCATTGAAGCATCAGTGAGACAACAGGTAAGCTACACCGACAGGGGCGGTGTCGAAGTATATTCCTCATTTTAATGAAAGACATGGCCTGTAAAAGTTTATTGATTTTCGTGGTTTGTATATGTGTCAGTAGTCTGAGTATCAAGGAGGCAATAAGGCGACCAAGAGTGAAGCCTTTGAAGATGTTGGTAACAAGGTTACAATTATTAAATAATAATAATAATAATTATTATTATTATTATAATTATTATAGAGAGAGAAAAAATAAAAGAGAGATAGAGACTATGTGAGGGAAAAACATAAAGTGACATTGTAGTAAAATAAATAAATGTCAGGGCAGAAAGACAGAAAGGTGCTCAGTGCAGGATGGGAATTCCCCCAGCAGTCTTGACCTATAACAGCATAACTTCAGGACTCACCTAATCCAGCCCTAACTATAGGCTTTATTGAAAGATTAGGACTGTCATTGGCAACACTATAATGACTTATCTTTCCTAAATACTAGCTCAGATAAAACCTCAGAGATTTCAGCTAAAAATTCTGAGTAAGGGGCAAGAGAACGATGTATAATAACCAGATGAACTGGTTTATGTGATTTCAGGCTTGGATGAATCAGGCTAAAGATGAGACTTTCAAATGAGTTATAACTACCTTTAGGTCAATTGTTGATAGATAAGTCAGATTTAAAGATTGCTGCGCCACTTTCACCTCTGCCTGTGCGTCGAGGAGTATGAGTATCAATATTGGTGGGGGGGCGCTGCTTAATTTAAACCCCCATATTCATCCTTTTGCAGTCAGGTTTCAGTTAGACACAGTGAATCGAACTGGTGGTCAGTAATCAGATCATTAAAACTACCTCGAATTTTTAGTGTGTGTCACACGGTCTGACCGTGCTGTGGCGTCAAAGTTTGATAATTCGCCAAAAAATAGGGATTTATTATAACTCATCTGTGCATTGTCCAATCAGCCTCCAAACTCATTCACACGATCACGGTCCTGCCCTGAAAAGATCCATATGTCAATATTGACTCATTGTCACAGCGCCACCTGCTGGCCACAGGAACTGACATGTTTTAGACTTAGCTGCATTGCTGCTGGCTGCTTTACAATATACAGCTCAAATGAGCTCAGACAAGCAATAAGAACATGGTCAGAATTGGGACATTTCCTAAAAACCATGTAAACATTGAGGTGTGGCGAAGGTTGATCCTTTGCCAAAAGAGACAAAGTTGTTAGAACTCCACTGTGCATTGTTCAATAAGCCCCAGAATTCTGTCACATGATCAGAGTCCAGGCCTGAACAGCTCCATATGTCAATATTAACTTAGGGTCATTGCCCCACCTACTGGTTTGCCATGAAACAGGATTTCTTTTTTTTTTAACTCCACTCTGCATTTTACAATTGGCACCAAAATTTAAACCTCTGATTGACTTCCTGGCTTGATCGGGGTCATATACCGCCACCTACTGATCGACTGTGAAAAGGAAATTTTTCTTAAACTCCACTGTGCATTGTCCAATTGGCCCCAAATTGGTCAAACTTCATCAGAGCCCTGACCTGAACAGATCTATTAGTCTGTATGTAATGATAGTGATAGCACCACCTACTGAAAACAGAAAATAAGCCTTGGTTTTAAATTTGATTTATATAAAATATTCACCTTGTGGTCTGCACTTCATGGCATGGGCTGTAAATCATGATTGGTGGGCGCGGTTCCAGTGAAGCATTTATCCCTCCTGCGCAAAACGCACACAACACGGAGTCGTTTCACCTGGTCCCTGTTCGCCCTCTCCCGCGGAGGCATCAGGTCCCGAGTACGCAAGTGCTCTGGCCCGCACAGTGCTGCTTCCCACTGTCAGTGCTAATAATAATAATAATAATAATAATCATTACAATTTCAATTGGGCCTTCACACTGCCAGTGCTTGGGCCAAAATAATATTACAATGGGCCTTCGCAGTGTCAGTGCTCGGGCACCAAAAATAATAAAAATAATAATAACTTCAATTTCAATAGGGCCTTCGCACTGTCAGTGCTCGGGCCCTATAATAATCCCATCAGATTAAATAGGGCCTTCGCACTGCTGGTGCTCGGGCACTTACAACACATTCATCAGTGTACTAGTATGATTAAAATACTGTGCATGTTGCTGCTGTTACTTTTTTACAGACGTGCTCCTGAGAATCTTAGGTATCAGGTCCAGAGTTTGCAAGTGCTCTGGCCCGCACAGTGCTGCTTCCCACTGTCAGTGGTCAGGCCCTAATAATAATAATAATAATAATCATTACAATTTCAATAGGGCCTTCGCACTGTCAGTGCTTGGGCCCAAATAATCATTACAATGGGCCTTCGCACTGTCAGTGATCGGGCACCAATAATAATAATAATGATAACTTCAATTTCAATAGGGCCCGAGCACTGACAGTTTAAATAGGGTCTTCGCACTGTCGGTGCTCGGGCGCTCACAACACATTCATCAGTGTACTTGTATGATTAAAATACAGATGTGCTCCTTAGAATCATGAGTAGTAAAAGAGAGTTTCAAAGATAACTTTATTGCACATTAAACTACATTAACTTATAATCCAACAAAAAATGAAATACAGTTGTGGATCAAGGTAAACATAATCTTCACTGTTACAACATTAATCTTTAGTGCTTATATTATATTATATTTTACACAATACTATTTAACATCAGCTCACAAGCTGACTTCAGCTACAATTCTGAAATATGTGGACATGTGACAACTGGCTTTTCACATTATTAAACAACTCGGATGACGGAAGCTAACTTTGTTATCAGCTAGTTCTCAGTGTAGTCGAGCTGTGTTCAGTAGCTAGTGTTGGTGGGCGTGTTTACACTACTCAAGTTGGAGGTCAGAGATCAGACCCAGCTCCTCCCTTTATCATAATATGGTAGCATCCATCTCAGCCTGGCTCCAAACTATCAAGATGGCGCTGATCAAATCTCGAAATATCTCGGCTTCACAAACCAATGGCTGACGTCACGGTTGCCACTTGGTCCAGAGGCAGACGTGAGTGGTGGCTGTACATTAAATAGAAAAGTGAGAACCCTATCACCTCATGCCTGGTACTAGTGTTGTAAAAATGAGTAGCTCTATCTGGGTTTGAGCTTCGTCACCAGGAAATGCCAGACTTACAATGTCATTTATTGTAGTTTATCTCATAAGTGTTTTCTTGTTTGTTTGTTTTCATGCATGTAAGCTATATATAATTTAGATTATTGTAAAAATCCAGATAATAGCTTGTTAACTTTACTAACATAGTGACTTATTATAGATGTGCAACCCGACAGCTGCTGCAGTGAACAAAAAAATAACGCACGTCAACAGGAAGGCACTACAGGTTTGTCTCTATGGATGAAAACAAAGCATTGCACATACAGGAAATTTACAGCTCTTATTTAAACTCTCAGGCTGTGGAACAGCCTCTGTTCAGCGGTTCAACACTCCAGGTAGGGTACCTTTTTGAAAATAAAAGTTGTTTGACTAAATATGTTCATTTGTCTTTTAGTGGTAATAGGTTTTTATTGTGAAATATTTGCTGGAGCGGAAGATGCACGGCTTCATACTGTATAGTACTGGTATTTATATGAGTTCATAGGACTACTTTTATATAATGCTATTATTAAAAGTTAACATAAAGTTAACATAAAGAAATTCAGGTGATGGGCAGTAGTTTCTCTCTCACACTCTCTGTCTCTTTCTCTTTCACAGACAGTCACACTCATTCACATTTATGGTCATTTTCAATATAAACCCTGTGTAAAAACAGTGCTGACAGTCACAGCTCTGCTGCAGCTGTGAAAAAGTGACAACTGTGACATGCAGCCGATGCCCCGAGCATCATTCAAGTACTGATAAAATTAGGTATTGTTAAATTTTTAACGGCTTGGTATCATGATACCTTTCTCATATAAGTATACCGTGCGACACTACCTGGTACAGTTACATATGTGGATAACTTTTGATAGGTGTTTTCTACATCTTTGCTTATCCTTTTCCTTCAGGGTTCTGAGCATTTGAAGCTAGGTATGTTTAAATCTCTCTGCAAGATTTCCCTGAGGATGGTAAAGGGTGGTCCTTGAGTGACCCACTCCACTCAAGTGTTGAAGGGTTTTGAACAGTTCTTTTTCAAATTCTCTCCCTTGGTCATGATGTATTTTCCATGGGTAGCCAAACCATGGGATGAAGTAGTCAAAGAACTTCTCTCCAGCTGTCTTTCTGGACTTTTTTCTGGTTGCATAAGCTTGTGTGAACTCGGTAAACAACCAAAATATACTAAAAGCCTCCCTTGCTAGACTCTACGTGAAGCTTGTCAATCGACTTGAAGGGTAAACTGGTAATAATGTTTCCCATGGGCGCTCTGATGTTTGAGACGGTTGGTAAGGGGCATTTTCTTGTCACCTCTTCCCCATGGATAGCACAGATACATTGTCTTGTCCTGAAACCATAGACGCACCTGTAGAACCAGATTTATATTTGAACAACTTTTCTTCTATTGTTCTTCCTGAACTGAGTTTCATCATGTAAACCAACAACTTGTCAGTTCCATATTAAATCAGATTAATATGTCTTTGTTAACTGGCTACGTAC